TCTATATCTTGGAGAATGACCTGTGTGCAGCTGAAAAGAATGTATATTCTGATTTTGTGGGGTGGAACACTCTATAGACGTCTAATAAGTCCATACATTCAAAAGCTTTGTTCAGTTTTAGTATTTCATTGTTGATTTTTTGCCTAGATGATCTGTCTATTTGTGATAGTGGTGTATTCAGATCCCCCACTACAATTGTATTAGTGATTATTTGGTTTTTCATGTTACTTAATATTTGTTTTATATAGTTGGGGGCATTTATATTTGGTGCATATATGTTTATGATTGTCATTTCTTCCTCTTGGATTGTTCCCTTTACAAGGATGTAGTGGCCTTCTTTGTCTCTCTTAATCAGTTGTGGTTTGAAGTTTGTTTTGTTTGAGAATAAGATTGCTACCCCTGCTTTTTTCTGGGCTCCTGTTGCATGGAGAATTGTTTTCCATAAACTTTCAGTCTATGGGCTTCTTTTTTGCACTAGGTGTGTTTCTTGTATACAACCTATTGTTGGATTTTGCTTCTTAATCCATTCTGCCAATCTATTTCTCTTGATTGGTGAATTGAGGCCATTGACATTGATAGTTATAACTGATATGTACTTACTTATTATTGTCATGTTATTGTCCTTTTGTTGACTCTTTTTATTTTTTGTCCTCTCCTTTTAGTTTCTAGCCTTGGCTATTTGATTTGCTCTGTTGGGCCTCCTGGTGTTGTGATCTTCATTGCCTTTTTCTAGGATATTGTTTAAAATTCTTTGTAGTGCTGGTTTAATATTAATGAAGTTTCTCAAGTGTTCTTTGTCTTGGAAGTATCTTATTTCTCCATCCATTTTGAAAGAGAGTTTTGCAGGATACATTAGTCTTGGTTGTAGGTTGTTTTCTTTTAGGACTTGAAATACCTCACTCCAGGCTCTCCTTGACCTGAGGGTTTGTGTTGAAAAGTTTGCTGTGATTTTGATGGGCTTTCCTTTGCATGTGATTTGTTTCTTTCCTCTTACTGCTTGTAGTATTTTGTTCTTCTGTTGGGTTTCTGGGATCTTGATTATTATATGTCTAGGTGTAGATTTTTTTTTGCTCGTGACTAGTTGGTGTCCTATATGCCTCGCTTATGTGTATGTCTAATTCTTCCCCTCTGTTTGGGAAGTTTTCAGTTATTAATTATTTGAACAGCTTTTTAAAGTCATTTGTATTTTCTCCTAGTACTTCACGGATACCTGTCAGTCTTATGTTATTCTTCTTTGCATCATTTAGGAGTTGTTGGATCGATTTCTCATGCTCCCTTACTGTTTTTTTAAGAGACCTCTCTTTTCATGGTCACTATCTGCTATCCTATTTTCTATATCTGAGATTCTATTCTCACAATCTTTTTTTCTGTTGCATATGCTTTCAGTAGAGTTTTTAATCTCCTGGATATCCGTTTGAATCTGTTCATATGGATTCCATTTCTTTCCTATGTTGGGTATTCATTGTTTCCATTTCTTTCTTATGCTGGACCTTCATGGCTTCTATTATGTTCCTAAGTTCATCTATTTTTTTGTCAGTTTCTGTTCTGGAGTCTCAGATCATGTCTTTCATTTTGCTCATCATCTCTATGGTTATCTGGGAAATAATTTCTGTTTTGAATTTTTCTAGAGCTTGATTGATCAGTTTTTTTACTTCCTGTGCTGTGAGTTCTGAGTATCCTGGAGGTTCACTATCTGATTTTTCATCCTCCTTTGCCCTACTGTTTGCCATTGGTGGACTGGAAGTCTATTTTTGTGGCTTGTTTAAGTGTTTTCTCATCTTTATTTTTGCTGTTGGGTTGCCCTTGATTCAATCTCTGGGTCATTAAATCTTCCTGATATCTTTGCGTCCCAGTCTTTGATTCTCTAATGACTTATAGACATTCTCATTTTCATAATTGAGAAAACAGCTTATCAAATCAATCCCTATCCTTTATCCTTATAGATACAATCAGGAAGATAATAGGATCAATCACCACCCTTTATAGCCCGGCACGCCTCTGCAGAGTGCGTCCAAGGACTGGCTCAGTCAGGGGATCTAATAGCGGAGGTAGGGGGTGCTCAGCGGCGCACACTGGGCTACCCTTCTGGCGCTGTGTCAGAGCCAATCAGTGGTGCCTGCTGGAAACAGCGCGGCTCCAGAGGAGGCCTGTAGTTCAGGCTGGGCCTCTAACTACTTCTAACCCGAAATAATCACTGTTTGGCTTAGTTTGGTACTGTTTTAGAATTTTATAACAATATTCATGTATGAGATTGACTTTTCCTTTATTTCTATGAACATTCTTGCCTTGTTTTGGCATCAAAGTAATTCAGGGTTTAATGAAATAAATAGTAACCATGTTATTTTTCCTTCTGTTGTTCGAAACATGGTGCTGCCTCAGCCTCCCCGAGGACTGGGATGCCTGGATAACCTAATATCTCTTTTGTGTTCCCTTGTCCCAACTGGAATCCTTCATTATGTTTAGCTTTCAAGATTCTTTAACCACCCCCCTTCAGCTCTGACAGTTTCCTTATCATTTTTCTGTGCAATAGAAACTACAAGCAGCTAAAAAGAAGCATGGTGTTGATTACCTTTTATTTTGGTACAAAATTTGCTGAGGTTGTGCTAACACATAAAAAGAGAGTTGTGTAACAAGAGAGATTTGTAAGAGAAAAAGATAAAAGAGCAGGCATGGGTCTGTGCCCTCCATACACATCATTGGCCAATGAATGTTGACCAAAAGCTGATAATTATTAAAGCTAGACATATGATGACTCATCACAGAACTGATTTGTATACACTGATATTTTCTTAATGAAAAACACACCATGCACATGTGTGCATATTTTTCTGCATGGATGCTTGAATGATTCCCTTGTTTCTCTGGTCTGTGCAGTGGACCATACTTGATTCCATTCATGTTTGTAAGTTTGCACACAGGTAACCTGAGGCTTCATCTTCCTTCTCTATTTACTCTCACATAAGTATTATAACCATATTTTTGTGGTTTTTTAACTTTTGATTTAGAATTAGGTTATATATAATCCTATCATTTTTCTTAAAACTCTACTTCTTACCACTGAACTTGTTGTTTTCAAGCCCTAAATGTTAGAACCGGAACTTTACCAGTCAGCAGGTAGGCACACTGCCCTCACCAAACCAGTCAAAGTTTTTGTGCAGTCCTAAGATGAAAGTATTGTGATTTGTATTACATTTTCTTCACAGGAAGAGGAGATTAGAATAACACATGTCGTATTTCCCGGGGACTGAAATCAACCAGACAACTCTACTTTCACTTTTAAATTAGGGACTCAGAATATGTCTGAAGCTTTTAGTTCTATGGAGGGCTTTTATCCATGAGAATCGGCATCTTCCTTCTCTGATCAGGTGTGTCTGTTGCGGGGAGGCTGGATTTCAAGCTCAGAACACGTTGCAAGATTACATTGTGATTCAAATGATTTCTTACATGTTTGAGTAGAATTGCTGATGGCAAGAGTGCCGATCATTTCTGAGGTGTATTCTATCCCTGCACCCAGGGAGAAGTAGTTTGGGCTTTTCCTGAAGAATGGGTAGTTATGGTGTTATCATAAGAACCAGCCCTGTCTCTAATCATAACTATAAGAGTGACTTTTTACATCTGGAATCAGAAAGATCATGTTTCAGTGTGAATGCTTTTGTGTTTTTTAAAGAATACACAACAAAGCAGATTAAATGTCAAGCCCATTTTTTCTAAATACCACGATCAAATGTGAGTAGCTTTTATTTCTAAAATCTAAGTCTTATATGTATTTATCAAACAGCTATTTTTTCTCTAAGGGCTCCACTAGATATTATAAAATACTAACTATACAGAAATATATATGAGGCTATGTTCACGATGATGGTGATGATAATTTGTGGTTGTTGATCATGGTGATGATATGGACCAATGTTGAATTAAAATGTGATAGGTAAAAATAGCCAATAAAAGTGCATATATCTTTCATGAGATTATCTTGGAGAAAACCAATAATCACAAAATAAACAGGAAACTACATTTGTTTTCTGTGTCCGTGATATCAGATATGCTTGATTAAACTTTCTAATGCAGGTGAATTTAAAATACCAACTATAGTTTATGACATTTTAAAACAATTGACCATTATCTCATAGCCAAGAGAAATTTATGCAATTATTTTTCTTTGTGAATCATTATTTTCATTTTTGAAGCTATGTATCTGAGGAAAGTTTTGCATGTTAATTCTCCCATCAGAATACTTCATTCGGTCACCAAAAAAAAAAAAAAAAAAAAAAAAAAAAAAAAAAAAAAAAAAAAAAAAAACAAAGCCATAAAAATGCTCTATTTAATTTTTTTTTTTTTTGGTCTTTTTTGTGGGTGGAAGACTTTAGACCCATCTCTGAGGTAGGTGAGCAGCCATCACTTTATCATGGGGCGGATTCATGATCAGAAATATCATCACGGCATGGGTATGTATTTCTTCAGCAATGCATGGTTCTGCTTCTGAATAATTCTAAAGCATGCAATTATTATTTTACATCAAGCCTTCAAAAATTTAAGAGAATTTTCTTCCTTTATTTTATCATTGACCATTAAAGAAATCATTCCAATTTAAGATAGTGTGAAATAGTGAAATGCCACTAGGGTTTGGAAACAGAAAAACTGAGTTTTAATCAAACTTTTACCACTTTTTGGCTTTCATATAGGAGCAGCACAGAGCACTTATACACTTTCATTTTTTCTATCTAATAGTCAATTAAAATATGTCATATTTACCTTAATGGACTTCTAAAATATTCAAATCAAGTTACAAATACTTTGAAAGTACCTTTTATCCTAAAAGTGTTACACATTACTCATGATAAATAGCAGTACATCAACAAAGTTATACCTACCATCTTTTCTTAAGGTTTAATAGTCTAGGAATGCCAACAATGTTTAAGTCTAATATTTAGGAACAAAAGATAATTCACATTATAATTAGTAGCAATTATAAAAGGCTCTTAAATATTCAGTAAGTTATTAATATTTAGATGGAGACAACTTGTTTCTCTACTTTTCTTCAGAATCAAGATTCATTTTTTTTTGCTAAAGCTTTAGATCCTATTTTAGTTTTTGTATATTTTCCATTATGCAGAAAATTAGACACACAAATATTTAGTAAATTATGTGTATGTAATTGATACTAATGAGACTAAGTTCATCATATTTTATTTCATTTTAAAATATTTCTAATGGAATGTGTTGATATTTTTGCTTTGCTTACTTTCTTTTGCAAATTAGTAATCTTGGGAGCAAAAGTTAAAGGATTTGCAAAGTTATCAAATTAATAAATTAGGATGTATGATATATGTCTATGTCCTTTTTCTACTATACAAAACTGTCTTTATTTTAATGTTAGATCTCATTATACATTATCAGTCAACTCATTTTGAAAGTATACAAACTCTCATTAAGAACACTTTTGAAGAGAATAAATACAATTTTATTAATATAACAAAGCCTAAACTTGATAATGAAGTAATGTAGAGCAAAAGTCAGAGATGTTAGGAAACTGGAAGATAGACTTATGAATGAGCAATGGGCAAGGACAATAACAGGTTTGAGAATAGTCAAAATGTGCTACGTGCATGTACCAACCCACCAAAACAAATCTTGTTGTGGGTGGCCAGTGTGCACCAAGAAAGAGAAAAGAATGTTTGAGGAACTGCTCCGGATTAAAGAAGGTAGAAGAACTGATAGCTAAATGCAGTGAATGGTCTGAAGCACTTTCTGGCCAGGGAGAAATAAGGGTTATTAGTAGGACAAGTAATAGAATTTGTACATGGGACATGTATTAGAGAAGAGTATAGTATCCACTTTTCTTGTTTGGATAACTTGGTTATGTGAGAGATTATCCTTTTCTTGGCAAATAGTATTTTAGTTTTGTTTTTGTTTTTTTTGTTGTTGTTGTTGTTTCTCATTGAGTTTATTGGTACTTTTTAAGTATACAGTACAGTTACATTTTTCATTTGGATCTTGTTCCTTTACATGACAGATCCTGGTTCTCAAGGGGAAAGGAAATAAGGGGAAAGAAAAAAATATGGGAAAAGGAAAAAAAATGAAACAAAGTCCTTGTAAATAGGGGAGGGCAAGAGGGTGAAGGGAGAGCAGGGGCATGGGCAAATAGTATTTTCAAGGGTTCAGTGGTCTCTAAACATAGGAGAACTTCACTTTACTGTCAAAAAGTTTCAGAAGAAAGAGAAGAGAAGGGGAAGGGGAGGGGGAGGGAGAGAGAGAAAGAGACTCATTTGGTGACTCTGGCTCTTAAAGGGCACAGATTTTTATTTTGTACACAAATTTAAAGCTACAAGAATGAGCTTTTAGTCTCAAAAATTGACTCCTTCAGTATGTTTAACTGGAGCAGGCTGGGGAAACATTTTACATAATTACTACAGACATTTTTTTTTGTACTGGGGATTGAATTCGGAAACTTGTGCTACCGAGGCATGTGGTGGAACCACTGAGCTAAAGACTTTTTAATTCAAGCTTTTGAGTTATTTTGACAATCAAAACAAGAAAGTGAGGACAGTTCCAGAAATGCGCTGATTTCTAGTGGCGGTGAAGTCTTCCCTTGTCTGAGCGCTCTTCCCAGACCAGTCAGTGTCACCCACTGGTCTTTCTGTCAGGACCCGGGTTGCTGATGATGAGCCCTTTTGCAAAACAACATCTCAAGATGCCAGTTCTGGATATGGAAGTAAAATATATGCAAAGAATAAAGGCTGATAGAAACACAATGAATTAGAATTTAAAAAACAAGCCCATGGTGTCCTTTAAAAAGGATATTGGTGACTGCCTGGGGATTTAGCTCAGTGGTTCCAACACCTGCTTCAAAAGCACAAGGTTCCAAGTTTGATAACCGGTACCAAAAAAAAAAAAAAGAAATTGGTGGGAAGTATATTCATGAAAATGTCAAGTTGAGTGGTAAAGTACTACGGCCTAAGTAGTGGAGATGGCAGAACTCATACTGGCTTGAACTGTTTTACTTCAGAAATGAGAGAACCACATAATTACAACCTTCAATCAGCTACATGTGAGACTCGAAAACGAAGGCAAAAACACAAATCCGCCCTGCTTACAGGCAAATGTAGGCAACATGGTAAGTCACGTGTTCCGCTTGATACCTCTCAGGGCACTGAGGTGATCCTTGGAAATTATGTGATTAAATCAGCAACAACCATTTGGGTTATTTTACCTTCAAGAGGGAAGCAGAGGTGATGTTTACTCTAACAGAAGTTTGAATGTATAATAAAATTAGAATAAGTTAGTCTTTAGGACTTCTCAGGACCCCAAATGGGTGACATTACTTACCATAATAATTGCCATGAGGCAGTTTTGGGGAACCACTGAGTCACCACCTTTAATCACTTTAAAATAGTGATAGGAAACAGAGGAGAAAAGAAATTTTTAAAATTCTCAAAAGTATGTACTTACATGATACAGATGCACCAGTCTGATTGCTGCCTACAGTAATATTTCTGAATCTAATTGGGACAATAGGTACTCGGTGTCTTTTTCCAAGTCAGTTATTAATATTACAACTTGAGAAAACTGAGCCCCCAAAGGGAAAGAAAATATCTATACCACTTATCTATGAATTTTGATTAAAGACTAAGAAATTATCTGGGGGTAATTTTGAAAATGCAAATACACCATACACTTTGATCAAAAGACAAAGATGTATGGGAATATCCTAAGTAACAATTATATTCTTATTATACACTTTGATCAAAAGACAAAGATTACATTATTGTATAAATAATGTTGAAAAGGCATTGGATAAAAATCAACAGGAATCTGTATATATATATATATATATATATAAAATTTATTTATTTATACATAGAAGATATACATATTAAATCATCACTCTACTTACTGTAAAATTGTGGAGTTTTAATTTCATTTAGAAAAAGGCAAATATTTCATTGGCCAAAAAAAATTGGTGTAAAGCCAGAATTAAAAGATAAAATTAATATAACTTCAAAATATATTATTTAAATAATTTAAAAACACAAATATATAGTTCTTAAATATTGTAAGCAGTAAAAACTACCATATGAATACTTGCTGGAAAGTTAAGATATAAAAATCAATTGTCTTTTTAAGTACAAATATGATGGAACAAAACATTTTATGATAAAAAGTCAAGGGAAAAAACACAAATAAACTTTTTAAACTAAGAAAACCTAAAAAGTTATCAGTTTAAATTTTTACTATTGAACAAAGAATAAATATGCAGAATTTAAGTAGAAATTACTCAAGGATGGAAGACAACATTTAGCAGACATAAGTCATGTCTATATATCAATAGCCAATATACCATATTTTGGAATTGGATTGTCCTTGAAAAGCTCATTTTAAGTTTGTATGTCACATATAAAGTGTAATTATAGCCAAAATCACTACAGAAAGAAATGTACTAAAAATTATAAGCATTATCAAATATTCAGGCATTTTATAAAGATAAGGAAGTTGTACATACAGTGAGTGGTAGACTGATTAAATAGGAATAATTGCAAATTACAGAGGGATGTACAGAACTATGTGCTAAATATCCCATTTTGTAATCAGTGCAGGCATATTGGAATATTATTTTATTCAGCAAATAGTGTTAGAAAATTTCAATGCTCATTTGACAAGGAAAAACTCCTACAGATTTATCCCCTGCCAAACAGGTCTTTTTGTTTTTTTGTTTGTTTGTTTGTTTTTTTTTGGTATCAGGGATTGAACTCGGGACCTTGTGCTTGAGAGGCAGGAGGTAAAAACCACTGAACTATATCCCCGGCCCCTCCCCTGCCAAACATACAACAGACACACAAACACCCATGCACAGACATTCACAAACATCAAGTGAAAAAGAAATTATTTAACATTTTGATGGCACGTGGGCATAATTAATTTCATAAACTCACAACAATAGAGGAGTCTTTATTCATAGCTATAAAACACAGCCATAAAGGAAAGTTTGATGAAGTCAGCCATAGAAAATTAACAATTTCAGCCATTTGAAGTTATCATAAATAAAATTAAAACAAAAGGTATCTGAAACGTATCTTTGCAAAACATATGGTGAGGACTGGTGTCATACTCCCAATCTACAAAAGTAAGGAACAAAGCAATGGCAATAAAAAAGCAAAATTCTCAGAGAACTAAAAGTATGATTTATATGGAGTAAAACATAATCTTATTCACAAAAGAATACATAATTAAAACAAAAATATTACTCACCAAAGTTATGCATTAAAACATGTCGAAAATATTTACTCTGTTGCAGCTAAACATGCTTATAGTTTATTTTCACTGCTGTGTAAATTGGTATAATCCTTTGGACTGAAATTTTCAGTCATTGTAAAAACTGAACATGTCCACGTCCTTTGACTCAGTAATTACATGGCAAGAATCTCCCCAAGAAAAGGACTAAAATATATGCACAGGTGTGTAAGAAATGTATCATTTCTAAAAGCAAAATATAACATATTTTAATTATATAATAAAAAAGCAAGAGCCTGTCATTCACTGAATAGAACTTGTTCATATATCAGTGAAACATAATGCAGGCATTGCAAAAACTCAATATCTTTATAAATCATGATATGCCCTAATCGCTGGAATAGTGCAAGTAAAAGAAATTTTATGGAATATTTTGTGTAATTTCTTAAATATTGCACAAGAACTTGGTTGAAGAGACTGCCTGTATTTATTGTACTTAACATAAAATGATAAAAATCAATAAGTGTGATTTATTTTAGGTGATGACTAAAGAACTCCCAGAGAGTTACAGGAGGGAATATTCATTTTTTTAATCTTATCTTTAATCATTTGTGATGAAAGTGCTTGGGTAACCTGCTCTGAGAAAGGCAATTAAAGCACAAATGTACTTATACTACTCCCTCATAAAAAGCACAGTGACATTCAGATTGAGCAGGAAGATACTTAGTCCTTTGTCCTTCCTTTTCTGCCCTGACATTGTTTTTTCTTTGACAGTGTCTCCATTTTTTCTTGGCTATATCATTGCTATAGCCATGGCGATCCGTTTCCTTGTTATGGTGGGAATCTGGGCTGCTGTATTCATGAATTGTAAGTTATAACAGATAGAGGATTTAACGTTGTTAACCAATTGGATTGCATTATTTTGATTAGTATTCAAAAGGACAGAAACATAAACTAGAAATTAACATGCCTGCATTTTTGCTACTAGTCTAAAAATTTATCAATCGTTTTTGCTTGAAATGTTATTAGCAATAATTATATAATAATTTTAATAATTATAATTATTTTAATAGCATTAGTCATCCAAGGAGTCTCATTTCCTTCACTGGGTAAGTGAATTTTTTAGCAAAATTTTTCATATCTGTGTTTACTGGGATATAATATCTACCCAATGGCATTAAAATAGAGAAAAGAAGTAGTTGATTTTTGTCCGCATTTCACTGTAGCTTTATGTTTTTAAATAATAAAGGAGATTATTTTGGGCATCTGCCCTCCCTTCAGTGTGTAAAGATGGGCCTTTGGGTATGACTGTGCAATAGTTTAATTATTTGGAATTTTGGAATTTAATGGGAAAGGCGAATTACTTTTTTAGATTAAATCTGCTATATATGTGTGTGTGTGTGTGTGTGTGTGTATTTAATAATATATTCTCTATATATTTCTAGAGAGTTATTGTGGCCCATGTCCTAAAAATTGGATATGTTATAAAAACAGCTGCTACCAATTTTCCAATGACAGCAAAAACTGGTACCAGAGCAAAGCCTCTTGTCAGTCTCAAAACTCCAGCCTCCTGAGGATCTACAACAAAGCGGATCAGGTGCCACCTTTGCTTTCATTCTCCTTTGTTAAATCTCAATACATACAAGAGCCCGGAACATAAAGAAGACGCTCAGACTTAGACCTTCCGATGCCCACCCCACGACTTTCTGTGCTAAAATTAAGACACCGTAGATACTGTGTATGTGTTTTGAAAACACATACATACATCATTTCAAAAAGAAAAGATGAAGTGGCAGTTGCTTTCCCTTTCATTTCTGAGCACAGATCTTATTCGCACCTCTTTGTGGTTCAAACAGGATTTCCTTAAGCTGGTGAAGTCGTATCATTGGATGGGACTAGAACAAATTCCGGAAAATAGATCCTGGCGGTGGGAAGATGGCTCAGTTCTCTCACCAGATCAGTAAGTCTCTGGCCCTAAGACAGACAGATGAGAGAGACAGATACATACACAGATACAAATAGAGATAGCTTTCATGGACCACACACACACAAAGAGCACCGCACACTAGCATATACGTGCTTGTTGACACACGCATGTGGATTTAAAAATTTATTTTCATGTCTTTACGGAGTAAAAATGCATACACAATCACTTGTTGGTATCCTTAGGGTATCGGTTCCCGGACTCCTCCCCACTCTGCATGGTTACTGATACCATTCCAGGGGTGCTTAAATCCCCTCCCTAGGTAGAGTTTGCACTTACCCTGCACATCCTCCTGTGTGTTTTAAATCACTACTAGATACTCAAAGCCCCTACTGAAATACATGCATGCTAATGTCATGTAAGCAGCTGTTATACTGTATTGTTTAGGGAATAACGAAAATGCCTGTACGTATCCGATGTACGCGGAGGGATTTTTTTTCCCTTAATCTTGCTAATTATGGCTAATTGGATACGCAGATGCAGAGCCTGTGACACAGCAGGCTGACCATACATGAAGAATACTTTTTATTTTTGCATAATACTCTGTAAGTGATGACTTGTAAAGTGAATTTTAAATTCACCTGTAATGTAAATATTTATTTTTAACTAAACATTTCAGAGCTTGCTTTTTACTCAGGTACAAACATGAAGAACTTCAGGCTTCAGAATGGAATCATTTTCTTCCAGTGTATGAAAAAAAGAGGGGCGCATAATTTACAATAGAGGACAAGTTTTACTTGTATTATCTGAGTGTGTTTTGTATTTTTCATGTCAGTGAGTTAGGAAGGCCACGCATGGTCATAAAATCTCTTGAAATATCATTTAAATTCTTATATTTGAAACCCTAGAAATATCATTTTATTTTTATATTCCTGCATTAATAGAGCCATGGAAGTAATTGTAATTCTCTCTCTTCAGAATCTCAATGGTGGAAATGCAGAATGGAACTTGTGCTGTTTATGCCTCAAGCTTTAAGGGCTACACAGAAAACTGTTTAACTCCAAACACGTACATCTGCATGCAGAGGCCTGTGCGAGGGCTCAGTAAAACCCAATAATAGAGGGTACAACGCGAACCCAAAATGGTTGTTCTGCAGACCTGGAGCTTGTGGAAATAGTGTTTCTAGGTCTTGGGGACTTGCTGGCTGCTCATCCCTCTTTCTCCTTCATTATTTCCCTCTATTGGTGGGGGATGTCTATCCACCATTTTATTGTAAAAGCACATGGCTTATTTCATTTGACAAGTTCACAATTTGAGGAGATTTTTGCCTCTCTTACCCATATCTGATTTAGATTATATTTGAAGGAAGCTTTGGGCTTAAAATTCTAAAGAGGTGGTCCTAGAAAGAGTCAAGACTATTGGGATCATAATGATGTATTTTTACCAATGAGAAGGATGTGAATTCAGGGGTCCGTGGTAGAATGTTATAGACTGAACACTTGTATTTCTCCAAAATTTATGTTTGAAACCTTAACTCCAAATATTATGACACTAAGAGGTAGGGCTTTTGAAGGTGGTTTTGATCAAGAGAGTAAAGCCAGCATGGGTGAGATTAATACCATAAAAGCAAAACCCCAGTGATTTCTCTAGCCTTCTTCTTTTTGATGTATTCAAGTCTGCAACCTATGAGAGGTTGAAAATCCATCTTTTGCAAGAGTTTCTCTATAGTAATATTCTAACTCAAAAATAAATAAAATGTATGCAAAAACTCACTAAGGTGTGTGCTTTTCTTTAGAGATGAATGATAGTTTGTATTTTCAGGTAGTAAGCCATAAATCAAGGTCCCAACTCTCAAGACCCCTATTCTGCCTTATCTGTTAAAAATTTCAAAATCTCACTGAGAAGGTGAATCTATCAGAGAATGAAAAAGAGAACTGAATATCAGCATTGTCTGGATGAAATGACTCGGCAAATAATTGGCATATTGAAAACAATAGGAATATAGAGCCATCGAAGTCATGTTCAAAGGACTTCAAGGGAATGGACAGTCATGTTGAAAGAGCCTTTGAAGGCCAGTGGGTACAGGACAATGAAGTGTGGAACTAGTCTATCGCTGATCTGCATGTGCAAGTTTGTTGGGAGACACAGAAATTGGGAAAGGATGAGAGTGGAGAGCATGTGTCTGAATGTGTTGAGTTAGGAAGTGGTTCAAATCCAGATTCAGTGAAAAAGAACGTTGTCACAGGTCAGCAGCGACTCTCATGAATTTTGATTTGGAAACAGCACATCCACCATCTCTGATGTGGAGCAAATCTTTTACTAGATGATATTCCAGTATTTGACTTCAGTGAGAAAACCAGCCAAGTTGGAGGGTTGAAATTGGTAAGTAGGAAGAGTGTGGTCGAATGGGAAGGGGAACAAGGAAGGGAAAGGGAAAAAAAAGAGAATGGAAGGAACAAAATGGAAACAAAGCTTGTGTGAATAGGGAGGGGAAGAAGCGTTTAAGGAAAGGGAGGGGAATGGGGAAAAGAATAAGATACATTATGAACAGATATAAACTCCCTAGGACGAATGTGATCAATCTGTATGATAAACATGTATTAATAAAAATAAAATTAAAAAGCAGCTGAGGCATAAGAAGGAAACAAAACTGATGACAGCTAGTGCTAAAATCAAAGAAATAAAAATAGTCCTGTTAATTTCTGGAGTTTTGCTTTGTTTTTACTCTGAAATGATTACCAACTGACAAAACATTCTAATAGTATAGAGGCCTCTTGTACCATGCACTTCATTTTCCCCATGCCGATATTTCAAGTGACTAGAGAAGAATATCGAACCAAGGAAATGACCTTGGTCTAATCCGTAAACTTTATTCAAATTTTACTAGCTTCATATGCACTCATTTGCTAGTGCATGTTCATGTGCACATATGTATGTAATTATATGCAATTTGATCATGTTTCATTTTGTATAATCGCCACTACCTATGCCTGGGTTTATATTCTAACAAATAATTATCACCAACTACTTTGTTACTCTGGCATACGGTTAATTTAGGAAGATGACAAATATTTGAATATTTACTTTGTTTGCCAATTTTCATATTAAGGATTTGGTTTTAGCAGGGGAATTTTTGAACACAATGCAGAACAACTCTAGTCTCATGTCAGTAGATAGCTCACTTCAGTACATGTGTGCATGTATCTTATTGAAGTATCTTAAGTCTCTGCTCTTTTACTGATAGGGAAGTTTATTAGTGCATTAGAAGTTCATTGTCCAATATGATTTAATGCAAGAAGATCACACAAATCCACCTCACATTCGGAAGCTATTTAATTCTGCGTGAAGCTCAGGACTACCTTACTGTGGCTCAATTGAAAGAAATTATGTGCAAGTTTTCAAACATGTAGATCTTTCTAAGCATTTCACACTGTGTATAACTACTTCTGAAATTAGTGCTGTCTATGCAGGAAAAGAAGTGTCCAAAGAAAGGTGACAACGTGTGATAGATAATTTGAACCAATTGTTGGCACTCTCCTTGATGTTTAGAGTAGGAAGAGCTGTATGAAGCCAGAACTGAGAAAACATTTCATTTGGTTCAACATTTCTTAACTTCAGCCCGCCACATACGCCTTTTCTAAATAGCATGTTCCTAAATGTATCACACGGGATTTAAGGGAGGTGTAGGAGCCTCGTGGCAGAGCTGCAGAGAACTCAGCTGCAGCGGTGGGTGCACCTGTTATGTAGCTGAGATAGCCTCTCTGTGGTGAGCTGTTGGGTGGGCCTTCGATTCCCCTTGTGAGATCACACACCGAAGCTGGCTGGTTGGCCTGTTCTCCAAGTCAAAAGCTCAAGTAGTTTCACCAAGTGCCAGTGAAATGGCACTGAGCCTCTTTCTTGGTCTGGAGGCAAAATGTCTGCATCACAAAGCTCCATGATCATTATCTGCCCACCAAGAGGAAACTTGGGCAGAAAAGAAAAAAAGACAGGAGAACTGTGAAAGCGTTCCCTACCCGAGAAGAAAGAGAAGCATCGGTATGAAAACAGGAGATTAGGAATGAGTTTAGTAAAAACCTGTGCTTTAAAGACTCTATATTCTTTAACCCTTTGTTACCAAATTTTAATTTAGTGTTAAAAAATTAATGCATTTCAAGTTGCAGTAGACTGTAATAAATCTGAGAGAAAAACAGTTATATAGAGGACCCTTTTAAAGATTTTATAATTTACACTCATTCTTTAATAGTGCAGCTGTGTTTACTTGAGCATACTTAATAATTATCTATGAACAGCTAACTTTTTAATTTTTTTTGTATTCTAGGCTTTGTTTTAGGCTATTTTGCAAACTTTATCTCTGATATTGATAGCTTTATTTCTTAAGTTTCATAGTTGAAGACACAGAGCATTATCCAGGGAACATACTCAAAGTCAGCTAAGCTGGGATTGGCTGAGCTAAGCCTTTCTAAATCTCTTTCCCTCTAATTAAACTGTAGGTGCCCATTTTATATGATTGTAAGAAAACTGTTTTTCATTATGTCTTATTTACCCTGGGAAATTCAGTCCTTATGTAAATATATATGTCAATAACTGCACATGAGGTTGATACATATTTATTATATGATAATGTATATTTGCACATACATTTGCATAATGTAGATATGCTTATGTATGCATACAAACCACCTAATTAATTTTTCTTATTAAAAATGCTATTGAAGTGAAATTTCTTTGAAGTATAATACAGATTGAAACAGATAAATTAATGTGTAATTATAATTTCTAATAAACTAGTAGTGGTCTTTAAAATTATAGTAAACATAAGCTTTAGTGTCTGTCTTCCCTGTTTTATGCCTCTGTCTTCTAACAAACAATGTAATTTTAAAAATTTAAGCATTCCGTGTATTTTGTGATCATACCTCAGACATACTCAGCCTTTTTTGTTTTTAGCCTTTTATTTTGGGAAAGGGTCTCACTAAGTCACTAAGTTACTTGGGCCGTGCTTGCACTTAGAGAGAAAGCTGGGTTTTGGCTGGTCTAAAATGTTCTGGAGAAAAAAGATCAAGCCACACCAAAGACATCCAGTGTTTATTCATTATTAGTGGGGAAGAAGGGAGGCAGGATGTGCTTTTGGGGCGTATTTCAGGAAGGGCTGTAAAAGGGAGGCACTAGCGTATCTTGCTGAAGAGAACAAATGGGTATTTCAGAGGGAAAGAATTTTTATTTATTTGTTTGTTTGTTTTGGTTTTTTGAGACAGGATCTCACTACGTAGTTGAGACTGACTTGGAACTCACTATGTAGCCCAGGCTGGTCTCGAACTCAGAGCGATCCTCCTGTCTCAGTCTCCTAAGTGCTGGGATTACAGGTGTGCACTACCACGCCCAGCTCAGAGGGAAAGAATTTAATTGGAGTTAAATTGACCTTGGCTGGAAGTTAATTCAGCAGGGCCCTGCTACTTCACGGAGTAGGATTTTAGTCTTGGTAGCAGCCATTAGCGGAGGAACTGTACTCGCCCAACTCTGCTATCTGACATTTCCATATGAGTCACGTAAAGCTTCAACCAGACTCCTAATGTAATACAGCCGAATTATGGAGGGGCAAGAAGCTTGTGCCACATATAGCCTGCTACTACTGGGCAGAAATATCTGCTACAAACCCAGGCCACTGTTCCATCAGACCTCAGTCATCAGCTCAGTCAACTCCGTGGGTATGAAGAGGTGGCGGACACATCACACTGAACACTACAGAGCATCTCCAAGCACACAGTTGCTGCCCCTCAGAATAGCAGTTTGCACCTATACTAAGCCTTAAAGTGGCCGTAAGAGGTCGAGGATGAAGTGGAGAGTAACGGGCAGGGGGACACCGTGTCTAATGAGAAAGAAGCTACTGCAGAAGATCCGGAGCATCTAACCACAGTGTGCCTGACCAATAAGCAGTGGGCATGATGTGGGGAGGAAAGAAGGGAGCCAAAAGTGAGGCTTCCAAGTGTGGAGGTGGCTGATTACTATCTCTTTAACTGTAACATTTGTATTATCATTCTGGCAAGTGCGACCACAGGAGAAACACTAAATTCAGAATGATGATAATGTTTACCTTCAGAGTCAAGAGGAAGAAAATGTCACAAAGAAAAACATGAAAACCATAAAATATGGTTTGGAGAATAAACACTAGAGCCAACTTTTCCACGATATCCTGTTTTACCTGGAATTGTATCCTGATAGAGTACTTAGGAAACAGCCTTCTTGTGGATGGAAAAAGTGGGTGACCCGTTCTAAAATTTGAGAGGGTATGTTATAATAAGAATAGGTACAGCAGTAACATTACAAAATTTCCTTGAAGAATAGATATGCCTACTCACTTTCCTGGATGTACGTTCTCAGTACTTGGAAGCTTCACATTTGTGTAAATGTGCCATGGAAACCTCAGTTTAAAGAAAATAGAATAATCCCAAAAGGATTTGGAGCCATTTGCCCAATTTTTATAACAAAGCAAATATTGCCTCCAATAAAGAATTGAAAAATCACTTCTAGGTTTGCAATGAATTAAACTTGAAAAAATTCATAGCCTATCCCTCTCCAGCATCACAGAGTATATGTAGAAAATGAATAAAAATTTAAATTCCTAAAAAGGAAAATACCTGTTAGTGATATTCTACCTCTGCAACTAGAAATT